CTTCAAATGATTTTCAATTGATTGAAAATATTGACAATTACAATACGGGAAGTACACTGAATTACAAAGGCCTAGCTGCTATTTATACTAGTTCCTAACGACCTTTCTGACATGACCTAGACAAGTGAAATGATCCAAGCCGTCCAAATAAAGTCGATTACAAACATAGTCACGTGAGAAGCACGTGTAACTAATTACCTAAGTAAAACAGTAGGAAGTGGTTCTTCACAGAAGATAAATCCGCAGACCCTCTGTGGGTTATTCCAGAGGCTCTGCTGCATATGACTTGTAAGCTTTTGTTGCGAGAGGACCAGTTTCCAGAACCTATATGATAGACAACAGAGGTTCTGTCACTCTTGACTTGTACGAAAGAACATCTTCTATTGTTGGTCCTCTGTGGTCTTCTGTGGAATGAACCCTTCTGTCAACACTCGCAGTAATACTTTTTCATACTTTTACATTAAATGAAATATGAGAGCTAACACACTTATCTTTTAAGAGATAAATGAGTAGCTGGTGGGGTTATGACAAGAGTTGGTCTGGGCTTTGACTTTTTCAATATTAGTCTCCAAAGAATTGAGAACTAATAGATTTTGTCGTTTGTCCGGATTATAGAAGATAGAATAGGATTGTTTTAATCTTTTAATCCTGACACAACTCTCACCAATTCTTTTAGCTCACAACAACTATCCCTCTAATTTACATTTTAAGCTCTACACAAACCCATTTTGCATTTAAGCTCATTCAGGCATGGATGTCCTCTTGAGTAGGGCTGTCGGTTATGACAATCCATAGAGGTATTTTAGTGAAGCTCTCTGTCCCTTCTAAAATGACAATATAAGCTCATTTGATCACAAAAGATTGATCAAAAATATTATTACAATGATTCACAAATGATCATATAAAAATTGATCAAGAAAAATGTAGCAATTAAGTATAAGAACAATCAATTAGGAGTGATGTAAAAAAATAGATTATTAAAAAAAAAATAGTTGGGAGAAATGAATGAAGATCCGTAAGCACAAGTTTATAGATTCACATAAACAAAGAATGATGAATTATGAATCAATCAAAGAAATATATTTCAGATACACTCAGAAAACAAACTTTAAATACAAACGAGTGTACTATCACCGAAAATGATTTTCATTTAAAACGCGTGATAATAACAATTTGAAGAATAGCTAAAACATATATTGGAAATATGTATGAAGAGAAATTACACATGTAAAATCTCAAAGAAATACCTAATCAGAAATGATACTCGTTTTATATCAGCTCAAAATTCAAAAACTTTTATCAAAACTCCCCCTAGAAAATAGATTTCATCTTCAAACAGATAAAACATTATTCTCCTTTAGAGTTAGCTCAGAATTTGAAAAACATTTCAGCTCAGAATTGAAGAACAGGTCCTGAACTGGGTGTTCAGAAACTATATTCTGGCAAATTATACACTCCCCCTGCATTAGTGTATCATATAAAATATGTCTCTTATCAGCACAACATATGACACACTTGCAAAACAAATTGACTTTGGTACCTAGACAAACATGGGTCCTACTTTGTTAGTACTAGCCTGAGGGATGTTGAAATTGCCATACCATCTGTTCTTATCGTATAAATTCTTTTTAGCTTGCTTAACAGGTAAATCAGATATACAATAAGAACCATACCAGTCATTTTCATACCTGTTATATCCATTCCAACTGTTTTCATGCCAGTTGTTCTCATACTATCTGTTGACCTTCTTCTTGTTGACAAAATCATTAGTTCCACAAGTTGAGCACTGAGTTATTCTCTTGCTAAGACTAATCAATTGATTAGTAGACTTCACAGTGCAAGGAAGAACAATATTACATACAAATGATTTTTTATTTTCAACATAGTTATGACAAACAACAGAATTAGCTTTATTCACCCAAACTTGTATTACTTTTGAAAAATTATTGTTTGATTTAATGACATACCCTTTGTAAAACTGATTTGAAGTACGAGATTTGTTCTTAGAAACAGTTGACTTAAGGCTACTTGAATAACTGTTGGATTTAACACTGGAACAGTCATAAAAGCAGGTTTTACAGTTAGATTGAGAACCAGTTGAGCTTTCGGCACTAGTTTTAGAAAATTCTTTTATTTTCATAAGTAACTGGTCTCTCTCTTCAACAACTAAATCATATTTCTTTTTAAGTTCAGTTCTTATATTCATTTCAGCTACAAGTTATGTTTTTAAATTAGACAATTTCATTGAAGTTTTCGAGAACTTGCCTTCCAACTCTCTTCTCAACTTCTCAAAATCTTTTCTATCTTCTTCTGAACTTCCCTGTTCTCAGAAGCAATGTCAAGCCATTTCTTTTTCTCAGTTAGCTCTTTAGCAATTGATGCATTCTTTTTCGCAGTAATTTCTTTTCTAAAGCAAAAACTTTTCTCTCCTCGTTTAAAGTTTTCTGCTTTTTAGCAATGCTATCAAACATTTCCAAATGCTTCCTTTGACATTCTTCCTCATATTCTTTCTTCTCATTATCAAACTTGGCTCTTTCCAAGATGATAATCTTTTCAAAATCTGAGATTTGTTTTGAAAGTATTGTAGCATTCAACTCTAAGGTTTTTATTTTGCTTTAAAATAAATTTCTTTCAGCATCAAACTTTTTCTCAGCCTCTATCAGCTTATCATTCTCCTTTCCTTGTAAATTTCTTTCAGCATTCATTTCATTCTCAACTCTATGAATTTTCTTTGTCAGCTCTTCAATCTTTTGGATCTGCTTTACGTTCCTTTCCTGTATGTCAGAAGAAAAACCTTGGTGAATGAATTCATCTATTTCTTCTTTTAAAATATTTTTCTCTTCAACAATCATGTTATACTTTTTAGATATACTTTTAGCCCAATCCAAATTGCATGACTCTCGTAAAAAATACTTTCACATACTTTTCATTTTCAGTTTTCAAACTCTTCTCCAACTCAGAAATTTTCTCTTTCAAAAATTTATGTTCTTTCTCAAAAATTGATGCCATTTGAAAATTTTACAAATGATTGATTAAACACCGAGGATCTCTGCAGTTCAAGATTTTGATAAAAAAAACCCAACAAAATTTCTTTAGAATTCAAAATTCAGACAATAGTTAGCAAAAATTTACAAGATTCCAAGCTTATCCGGATTAGGAATCCGGACAATAGAGAATATACAAGACACAATAAGATTTTAACAAAGTCAAATACGATCAAGCTTGTAATTCAGTCAAAGCACAAACAAATCCAGACGAAGAGTCTTCGGGATATCAATCAAATATGGATAGAAAGATGATCAAATAGTGTCAAAGTCAACTGAGATAAAAAAAATATGAAGGAAGCTATCCAGAGAAACAATTCAGACAAAAGCTTAACAATAATATCACTCAAATAGTTGAATACGGTCAAGGTCTATGATCGGTCAAAGTCGAATACGGTCATGGTTATGGAAGGTTTATGTTGAATACGGACAAGATTATCTGGTTTATGATGTATACGGACAAGGTTATGTCCGGACAAGGCAAAACACTTGAAATGTAATCACAAAGCAGATAGTCTCCGAACAAGGTTTTACCCGGATCACACTAAATCCGAACAAGAAGTCGACCGATATTCACAAAAACCACAATCACTAAACAAATAGAATCTAGACAA